AGGGAAAGAAGTGGCAAGGTTCAATAGAATGGAAGTTTGAAAATCATCTGAATCCGTATCTTTCAATAATTTTCTCCAAATGCTAAGCAAATGAGATAAATTTCGGACTAAGGGAAACTAATTCTGTTTGGTCGGGTTAGAATAAATGTTTCACTTTCCTCTTGTTAACTATTTACTGTGCTGTTAAACGTATAGTGAGACAATTTTATTTTATTTTTCATTTAATATAGGTTGATGTGAATGGTGACAATACTGCTCCACTCTACAAGTATCTTAAATCTAGCAAAGGTGGACTCTTTGGGGATAATATCAAATGGAACTTCTCCAAGTTCCTTGTTGACAAAGAAGGGAATGTTGTTGATCGTTATGCGCCCACTACTTCTCCTCTGAGCATTGAGGTAAGACAATTTGTATGATGGCACCAATAATGTTGCCTATACATATTTGATATTTGAAACTTCTACACTAATAATGCTTCTTCTTCTGATTTCTGTAGAAGGACTTGCTGAAGCTGTTGAATGCGTGAAGCAATGAATGATTGGAGCTGCCAATAAATGAATAGTGATTAGAATATAATTATGAATAAGAAATGTATTGCAGATATTGGTGTCATTTCCTGTCTATCTTACATGTATCGAAACAGTTGCTCGTGTGACTCTGATATTAGGTTCAAAACCATGAAATTGTATACTTATTAGTTATTACTGTGCGAGTATAAACTTGACCTTCGTTTTAGCCCACTGTGTTCTACATTGACGCGAGTTTGCATACTTCTGTCGTGTTGTATATGTTCATGGTTAACTACTATGTAGAAAGCCCTTCTCTGCCTGTTTTCAAAATTAAAGAGCCATATTTAAAGTACATGAAATGATGTTCATATGTTTTATATTCTTTTAAATATATAAAATAATAATAAATGAATTATAAAGTTATATTATATTGATTTTATTTGAATTGAAAAGTATGGTCGTTTTGAACTTACATTTTATATTTATATATAAAATATAAAATTACCTTAAGATATATTTTACAGTAATACTTGATATCAGTCATCAGATAAATTATAACTATTTCAATTTAAATACTTTGATTAATTGTATTTTTAGAATTAGACTATATGCATTTTTGGACCTATGAATAAGTCAGGTCCTTTTTATTTTAAATAAATCTAATTTTCTCATTATTTGACTTATGTACGCTTTCTTAAATATGGTTAATGTTTTTCGTCTATTAGAATTAAAATTTTACTTAACAGAATTGGAAAACGGTTAAAAAAATTATACTTTAATTTGTTTTTAAAATCCTTAAAACCTGCGAGTTTACATGAAATTAAGATATAAAAATTTAAAATCATAATTTTAGGGAAATTCTGATAAAATTTGATGAATTTGGTCGTATGTGAGACTAAGATTTGAAGAGAAAAAAAATATACTTAAAAAAAAATTGTTATTTAACTTATTTTAATCAGGCTAAATTTTTCTTTTAAAATAATTTAATTTGTGAGAAATGTAGTGTTTTGAATAAAAGAAAAATTACAAATGAAATTAATTGTGATAATTAGTTGACTTATTGGGAGCGAGTGAGTGGTTTGATAAAAATAAAAAACCGAAACTGAGAGATAGTCTGAACGTAAATAAAATTTTGAGAGATGCTAAAAATAAAAACCTTATTGGCGACAACTCTGGTTCTAAACTCAGATTGTGACTCTAACTCGGGAGCTGTTTCACTGTTTGGTCTCGAATCCATCATGAGCACCCAATCAACCAACGATCCAAACTCCATCTTCCATTTTACTGTCAAGGTTCCTACTCTCTCTGCTTTCACTTCTCCATGAACTTCCACTGTTACCTTAAGTTGACAAATATGTATATGCGTGTATGCATGTCTTGGGTGTGAATAGGTTAGGTAGTGATTAAATAATGTGTAGCGACTTTTCCCGTTCAATTGCAGGATGCTAAAGGCCAAGATGTGGATCTTGCCACTTACAAGGGAAAAGTCTTGCTCCTTGTTAATGTTGCTTCTAAATGGTATCCTCCTTTTTCCTTCTCACTATTTCTTCCTCATTCTTCTTTTCTTCACTCTCCATCTATTATATATTATTCTTCCTCAAATTCTTATCAACCTCAGAATATTTATGCTTCTTTTTTTGTATTGAGGCAGTGGCATGACCAACTCAAATTATGTGGAGTTGAATCAACTATACGGGAAATACAAAGACAAAGGTTTGTGGTTATCACACTTTCATTTTGTGCAAGTCATTGCAAACTACCTAAATAGTGTTTCTAGGTTGCCTCTTTGACTTTGTTGAGGCACCGCCGCACCGTGTTTCTTTTTATTATTTTCCAAATGTGTTTTTAATTAATACTGACGAATGAGTTTGATGCCTTCATTTTAGGGCTGGAAATTCTGGCATTTCCTTGTAATCAATTTGGTGAGGAAGAACCCGGAAGCAATGATGAAATTGCGGACTTTGTCTGCACTCGCTTTAAATCTGAATTCCCCATCTTTGATAAGGTACATGAACATATAAGCTTTGAAAGCTTACTTTAGTTTTCATCACCATTTTTGGGCCCTCTCAAGGGCCAAAATTTCATGCAGAACCAAATTCCATATTTTTTTAGATAATGCTAAAGAGTGAAGATTAAATAGTAGGGATTTTGTGCCTTTGCATTATGTTTAGTGCTTGCCATTGCCCTGGCTGTGAGTTGTGTGTTTGCTGTGGCTTGAGATCCATTTTGCTTGCTCATCTGCTGTCAACATTAAGCCCCATCATGTATATGGAAAAAAGTTCATATTAACATTTTCATCTGCTTGACTCTACAATTACGAACTTCAAAATTTTCATCTTATTTTAAATTTTTTGAAGAAGTGTGATATGCACTCTAAGTTCAGCCCTCCTGTTATTGTGCTAGATTGAAGTGAATGGGGACAATGCTTCACCCTTGTATAAATTCTTAAAGTCAGGTAAGTGGGGAATTTTTGGGGATGATATTCAGTGGAACTTTGCCAAGTTTCTGGTTGACAAAGATGGGCAAGTGGTAGATCGTTATTATCCCACCACATCTCCTCTTAGCCTTGAGGTAGTTACAGATTCACAGTATTCTGGCTATATTATTCTAGAAATCATATGGTTTATGCTACCTCTAATTCTTATGGAATTTTTTTTTTATTGTTTTTGCAGCGAGACATCCGTAAGCTAATTGGTATTGTCTAAGTGGAAAGATTGAGCCGGGAAGAGAGGATGTTGTGAATGTCAAAGCATCTTTTCTTGACTTTATTTAGTTCCCTTTGTGAAGTCTGGTTGTGTATAAAGGTTTGTGACTAATTGAACTAGACTTGCTTATTCTCATGGGCAATATGATGCCTGGTTGATCATGCCTAGTTTTATTGGGATTATGAGAGCATAAATCTTAAACAAATAATCATATACCAATGATCAATATGAAAAGTTATTCGATGGTCATCACGTGAAGAAAAAACCATATTACTTTATGTTCCTTTGTGTAGCTTTGATTGCATAAAATTTTTAAGAGTATTGAAATCTTGATAAAAGCAAAGGTCCAAGTAAAGCATACACTATCACGGAAAATAAAATGTTTTCTTCAAAGAAAATAACGGTGAAGATTCTTGCTTAGATAAAATATTTTGTCCTTTAATTTTTTATCGTGATTTCTTCATTTCAAGTGTGTAATTCTCCAACCAAAAAACAGAAATGCATGTAATTATAGTGCCCATTGCAATATTTAATAGTTATTAGCAGTTTAGTTCTTACTTTCATGATTTATTACGTGGAAAAATCTTGTGTTCTGATATGTATATACCCTTGTTGCTTTTACTTAGACTCAGCTCCCTTTTTAATCCAAAAATTTACGAAAATATATCTTGAGAATGACAAAGTGTGATGATTACAAACTACGGAAAGATCATCGTGGACCATTCTAGCCTTTATCAGGTACCCGAATTGACAAATTTATATATTTATATATCAAAGTTTTAAGAAACAGCAATTAGATTAAAAAATAAGTAAAAATGGTAAAAACCCGAGGGTAACATTTTGTGCCTCTAATGAGTAATCGAACAACCTTTTGCGCTGTAGCATATCGCGATACATTGTTAAATCTCAATTTGAAAGCATTAAAACGTGTGCTAACCCCGAAACTAAAACGCTAATGATACACGTTATGTCGGCCAATTAAGCAAATCATGTGTGACCAAAACTATAAAAACGCGTACTAGCCCTAAATCAAGAATCTGATCCAGCACAGTCTCAATTATATTTTGTTCAGTTTATTAAATGCCAAAGCCAATGTCCAGGCAAATAATTGAGCTCAGTCCACTAGGCAGTTATCAGTGGTCCACCAAGAGCGATCACAGAACTCATTGAATTCAACTATGCATCCCAATGAAAGTTTGTCAAGATCATTTCAACAGACATTTTTGGGACATGTCAATTGTCAAGAATCGTCACATAAGCCCAAATAATTCACAATTGTTTCAGCATGTGTTAGTGCAAACCTGTCACTCAACAATGGGGGATAACAGGCAGAGTCACAATGCTCACAAACTCAAGTTCATTTACAACAACATTTATATACAAAACTGCAATGTCTCCTCCAAATAAACTCTCACCCGCGAGTCAAGTCAATGCCGGTATGAGTGTGCGCACTTTTCAGCTCTGTCGATCGTGATCCAGGCCAAATGTTTGTTGCAGGAGGGAGGTAGTTTTGAGCAGGTGGAGCAGGAGCACTGGCAGGAGAAGCTAACTTATCATTCTGCTGTGGCGGCTCAGAACTTTCATTTCTTGTGGCGGTCGCTTGTTTAGACTTGGTCCTTGAGCTACCATACACAAAACTGCACAATACCACCTGCAGCAAGCAAAACCTTCATCAATCTATCTACTTTTTGGTTTTGGGGTTATTGATATTTTTTGATCTTGATTCTTTTGAATGTAAAGCACCCTAAGTTTCATCAAAACCATATTAGCATCCCCATCTAGCTATCTTCAATCTCTATTCCCACAACCCTTTCAAAGCAACTTGTTTCAACATAAAGTTCCGGCTTTAACAGCGTGAATAAGCAATTACACATGCAAGTTAAGAATAGCATGTCTTCAAAACTACTGTAGATTTTGGAACAATCAAGATACCTGCACTGGGCTTGCAGCAATAAGCACAGCGACACCACCACCAATAACATGACCATCAGGGCTAGAAAGTGAAACACTAATGCCACCAGTTCTATTGGAGGGTCCACCTTCTTCAGCAACCAAATAAGAACCAGACAAGCATAATATTTGGAATCGTCCCTGTAAAAACCAAAAGATAAAATAAGTTTCTTTATACAACATAAGAAGTTACGGACCAAGCTTGGGCACTTTAAGCAGTTCTAATTAATGCTTTAACCTCAAAAGTTACACTGGCATTAGTAGAAGCAGGCTGTCGCAGAGTGACTGAGGAAACTGTCCCGGTGCCTGACAATATGCACAGAGCCCTTGGCCTCTGCTGTGATAACGACAATAACTTTGCCACAATGTCCTGAGATAATGATAATTGATCATTCGAGGAACTTTAGAATTAATGAATAAAACCTTGGAAGGTTTCCGTGATGAATAAAACAATTATGCTTATTCTTTGAAACCAAAATTCAAATTAGATGATAAAATCAAGTAGTATCACCATCCATCAGTATTACATGTATTCAACAATCATCTTTACATGAGTAATCTTCACTGATTTATACTCCTGTTGACAAACCCAGTCCATGACAACTCCATCCGTGTGTACATTCAATGAGTTGCAGTTATATAAACCATCCATGAGGATTGCATGTCATGATTGTAAATTAAAATTATGTAAATGTTCTGAATAAAAATGAAGCACATTTATTTTGGGAAAAAAAATCTCTCCCCAATCATTAATATGCTTTTCAGATCTGGGTGGAGTGCAGGAACTCTTAAAAGTTACAGGAAGTAAATTTTCTAATAGCTTCTAGATCTTAAACGTGATTCTTTCCTTCCTAACAAGTTTCCAAACATGCTATAAATTGAACGAGTTATTTTTTTTCCATATGTTAATTTCAACAATGATGTTAGATCCAAAACAGGAATGTGCCCATAAGAGGAAACCAACCTCTATAAATAGGAACATCTTCACATTCAGGATTCAGAAAGAGAACAAGAGAACTAAATAAATAGGAACATCTATATTGCTTACGAACAGAAAGCGTGTTACTACCTCCCCAACTCCAATAGTGACAACATGAGGCGAAAAGGCCAACCCTGCTGAAGTATTC